TGCGGAGTGCCAGTCGCGACCACTGCTGTGGCGGTTGTTGCGCGACTCGCCCACCTTGCACTTGACTGCGTGCCAGCCGTGCGGGTCGAGAGGCTCGTTGCAGGGGCTGCCGTCCTTGCTGGCAGGGGCTCGTTGCAGGGGCTCGTGCGGTGCTGACAGCGTGAGCCCGGTGGGCATACTAGGATGCAGAGCCGACGCCTCAGGTTGCCCTTGAACTGCGCGTCGGGCTGGCTGGGGTCGCCAGGCTGGCGCGGGAGGAGCCAGCTGCTTGCGCCTGTGCCTCCGTTCTCTCGTAAGCGCAGGCGGCGCTCCTCGTCGTCCCGTAGCCGCAACAGTTTCCCCCTGTTGGCCGCGGATGCGGCTTTGCCGCAGTGGGCCTGTAGCTTGGGTCGTGGTTCTGCAGCGCAGCCAATCCAGTCGAAGGGCGCTTGGAGGACGTCTGTCGCCCAGAGTGCCGCTTCCGCCTGGTCGAGCGCCTGTTGCGTTCGCGGGCAACGGGCCTGCAGCGCCTCCAGCGAGTTGGCCCCGAAGCAGACCCTCACGTCGTGGAGCCAGAGGGCCCAGCTGGCGGCGTAGGGGGTGTGCGCCGTCAGGGTGGACGAGGGGAGGGCGCATCCGCCGTCGGCGAGGCGCAGCGTGGCGCGGAGGCGCGGGTGGGGGTCCAGGGATCCACCAGCAAGCTGTTCGAGGCAGCCGAAGAGCACGCGGGCCAGCAGCTCCGTCCAGTCCCCCCTGCAGGTTGGCGCGGAGGTGGTGCGCGACGCAGCCGCGGGCGAAGGGCTACAGCAGAGTGGAGGCACTCTCGGTCCGGAGGCCCGCCTGCCGCAGCTCCTGCAGGCGGGCGGCGGGCGCCGGTGCGTTGGCCGCGCCTGCGGCCCCGTCCAAGGCGGCGCGGACGTTGACCCGTTCCCCCGCCTGTTGGAGCCAGGGGGCCGTGTTTCCCAAGCACGTGGGGTGGTCCACCCCGCGCGCCTGGGCGGTGGCCGACAGGTGGTCGCGCCCCCCCGCCGACCACGCCCGGGTCTTGCTCTGGTGGACAGCCAGGCCGTGCCTCGTGAGGGTGCCAGTGGCGAGGCGCATGGCTTCGCTGCGAGCTCCGGCAGGGCAAAAGCCAGGATGTCGTCAAGGTAGCTGAGCACTCTGCAGGAGGGCGGGAGGGCCTGGAGGCACACGTAGAGCTCGTCGAGCGCGTCCGCATGGCCAATTTCAAAAGGCACCAGTGAGAGCGGGCACCCTTGGTCCATGTCGCTGCTAGCTTGAATGCGGTCGTCCCACCAGTGGTCCCCGTGAGCCAGTGGTGGGTGCTCTGGAACAGCAGAGATGCCCGCTGGCGCACGATGTCCTGCACTTTGCCGCGAGGGATGCTGTTGAAGGCGTTGGAGCAGTCGAGCGCCAGGGCGACCCCGCGCGGACAAACCTCCGACAGGGCTGCCAGACGCTCGTGCACGGGCTCGCACCGCGCCGCGCGCCCGACGGCGCACTGGTGGGGGCCGATTGCCCCCTGCACGTCGCCCGTGCAGACATCGCAGGCGGCCCGCGCAGCGAGGCGGCGGAGCACAGAGCCGCAGCCGATCGGTTGGAGCGCGCCGTGGCGCTCGCGCGGGGCCGGCAGCCGCGCAACCACGGTTCGCGCGCGCAGCCTCCGGGACCGAGCTCGACGTGGAGGATGCCTGCCTGTGACTGCAATGGGAACGAATGAGCCAGACCTCCGGGCACGGGGTGTCTGGAAAACTGCGCTCGTGCTCCGTAGTCGTTTTGGTTGAGTTCGGCTTGCGGCTTGAATCGGTCCAGAGAAGGGGGACCGTGAACCCGGGCACCGCCGCCAGAGCCGGGGGGTGTCGGCCAGCAGCTTGCGCCAGTGCTCGGGCCTGCTGCCGTGTGGACCCAGTCTGGAGTTGCGCGGGCTCTTCGCCAGACTCCCTCCTCCTCCCTCCTCCTCATGCTCCCTCCTCCCTCCTGCCTGCCTCGAGTGCGAGAGCGGTGCGATTCTGCCCAAGGCTTCGACTGGGCTGGATGTGGTTGGTGTCTGGTGCAGGGGAAGTGCGGGGGGCTGGCCCCGTGTCTCTCCCCACGCGAGGCGTTGGCCATTCAAGGCTTTCCCACCTTCCTTCTTGCAGTAGCTTTAGCTTCTTTACCTAACGAAGTGTCAAACAATTTCGTTGTCCGCCTCTTTTCCTCTCCATCTCTACGTCTCTACGCTCGTCGTCTCCTCCATTTCCTCTTCCCCTCCGGTAGGAGGAAGGAGGCGGAGGTGGAGAATTGTATGAACAAGAAGAAGACACTGCAATCATTATCAATATCAATGATAAGGTCATGTGGCTAATATTGACAAGAAGAGACGGAGGGAGACATGGAGCGAGAGAGAGAGAGAGAGATTATTACAGGAATTACAGCTTACATCATCGAACAAACATCGCGCAAGAGCAGGGGACGCTCGAATGCGCGGCCACATCGTTCACCTATGACTGACCGCGGTCGGGCGCTATGACAGCCCCGAAAA